AAGTGGGTGGGGCAGAGGCGGGGCCAGGGCAGGGGCGGGGCTCCGCCCGTCCTCTTTTTTGCTTGCTGAAATATGGTAACCCTATTACTGCGTCAGGCAGGGAACAGCGGCAAGGTAGAGACGATTAAACAGTGACAATGCAAAGTGACCCACAGCAGTTTTGTTTGGGCCTCTAGGGCAGTCCAGCTGAGACTTTTCAGAACTAGCGCCTGGGGTGCCTCTCCAGTTCAGTCTGTATTCAAAGCAAATAGGCATCTGCATGTTTCCTGGCTAGGCTCAGTTAGTGTCTCTGATTGGGGCCCCTCCTCCCTGGCTTCCTGCCCAGCTGCTGCTGCTCCCTTGTAAGCCTTACACAGACCTGCAGCCAGCAATCACAGCCTGTTCCACAAACTGCTCTGCATACGATTCCTGGGGAATTTTCTCTGCATCCAGCTACTCTGCGGCTCCTGGCTAGCCATGTGGCTGCTGCTTCCAAACAGAGCCTGGCCACTTCCTAGTTCAGGACTTTCCCCTTACCCTATCAGAAGGGAGGGGATGTGTAGTGGGGAGGGGGCTGATGGGAGTTGCGGTCCCCTGCTTAGCAGCTCCATCACAATTATCTCCTTCTTTTGTGTTTTAAATCATTAGTGCGTGATTAATCAGTCAGAGCACAGTTAATCTGTGTGCACGAGGCTCTTATTTAAATAAAAGTGCTTTGCATACACCAGATAGACCCACATTCTAATCCAGTGGTGCTGGAACCCTTTTAATAGTGGGGGTGCTGAAAGCCAGCCCCCTTACCCCCAGCTGGGGCCAGGAGCAGTGCCGTGTCTCTGGGACGGGGGGACCCGGACAGGGGTAAGGGAGCAAAGGCTGGAGGCGGGGCGTGGGGTCAGGAATGGAGCCCCAGGCTTGTGGCCTGCAGCTGGGACCCCACATGCAGGGCCAGTAGTAGGGTTACCATACGTCTGGATTTTCCCGGACATGTCCGGCTTTTTGGTCCGCAAATCCCCGTCCGGGAGGAAATTCCGAAAAGCCGGGCATGTCCGGGAAAATAGGGAGGGGTCATGGGGCTTGGATCTGGGCTGGAGCCGCTGGGGCCGGCAGTGCTCATCCAGGGCCGGGACAGAGCCACTCGGCCGGAACCGGGGCCTGAGCCAAGCCGGGCCGGAGCCGCTCGGACCGGGGCTGGGAGTTCTCGGCTGCCGGCCGGCGCCGCTCGGCCGGGGCTCGTGCCCCAGAGCCCAAGCCGAGCTGGAGTTGCCGGGGCCAGGGTCGGAGCCTCCAGGGCCGGGGCCGGGGCGGGCCGGAGCCGCTCGGCTGGGACCGGGGCCGGCGCCCCAGGGCCTGAGCCGAGCTGGAGATGCCGAGGCCAGAGCAGCTCGGCCCGGGGGGCCGGACTGGGCCGCACCTCCTCGCGCCCCCCCGTCACCGCCCCAGCCCCAGCCCCAGCCCCAGCCCCAGCCCCAGCCCCAGCCCCAGCTTACCTGCTGCCTGCCTGTTTCAGGCTTCCCGCGAACATTTGATTTGCGGGAAGCAGGGGAGGGGAGGAGCAGGGGGCGGAGCATTCAGGGGAGGGGGCGGAGTTGGGGTGGGGACTTTGGGGAAGGGGCGGGGCTGGGGGCGGGGAAGGCGCGGAGTTGGGGCGGGGCCGGGGCCCCGAGTATTGTCCTCTTTTTGTATTTTTAAAATATGGTAACCCTAGCCAATAGCAGAGCCCCGGTCGTGGGGCCAGTGGCCAGGACCCCGGGAGCAGAGCTCTGGGAGCTGGGGGCTGGGTGTGGGGCCCCAGGCACAGGGCCAGCAGCCAGGTATTGGGGCACAGAACCAGTGGCCAGCACCCGAGCCCCAGACGCAGGGCCGGGGAGCGGAGTCCCGGGCACGGGGCCAGCGGGGCTGGCAGCTGGGACCCAGGCTCTGTGCTGGGAAGTGGAGGCCTGGGCACAGGGGACCATGGCTCTGTGTAAAGCCTGGGGTACTGCAGCACCCGCCGCACCCCTAGTTCCCCCGCTTATGTTCTAATCCATGTAAAGTCTGAGGCGTCTGACCCTATGTGTTGCTGAGTGCCCTAAATTCACACTGAGGCAAGTCAGAGATGAGAAGAGTAAACACCGCCGTGGCAGTGTTGAGGACTTAATGGAATGGGCCTATGAGTCTAAGACCTAAATTAAGTGTCTTATTTTTTGGATGCCCAAACTGACATGTCTGAAAAGGCCTGATTTTCAGAGAGCAGAGGCTCCGCACTTTGTAAAAATCAAAAGCTGAGATATGTAATATCAGCAGTCACGTTTTAAAAACATCCACCTGCATCAGCAGAGGACCTCCTAAGAGTACTTCTGCCCAGCCTAAGGTGTGCCTGAGCTAGCAGACTTTGATTCTTTGTGCTCTTGTACTAAGAACACTGGAGAGATACTCATAGCCATAAGAGTTGCTCCTATCAGTGCCCATAAATGTATGAAAGAAGATGTTCATGCCAAGTCTATCCTGCAGGGCATCTGGAGGAAGCAACCTTTTGTTATAAATGAAGCATATTGCTTTACTTGTTCTTTCCCCCTTGGTGACTGTTAAGCAGAATGTTTATGAGCAATTTTTCTGTTTAGCTGAGCTGGTGAAAGAAGGTGCTTCAGGCTGTCCTGGGCCAGATTACTGTAAACCAGGGGTGGGAAAACTTTTTGGCCCGAGGGCCACATCACGGTTGCAAAACTATATGGAGGGCCAGGTAGGGAAGGCTGTGCCTCCCCAAACAGCCTGGCCCCCGCCCCCTATCCACCCCCTAACTGCCCCCCTCAAAATCCCTGACCCATCCAACCCTCCCTGCTCCTTGTCCCCTGACTGCCCCCTCCTGGGACCTCCTGCCCCTAACTGCCCCCCCCGGAACCTCACCCCCAATCCAACCCCACCCTTCTCCCTGTCCCCTGACTGCTCCAACCCCTATCCACACCCCACCCCCTGACAGGCCCCCCATGACTCCCATGCCTATCCAGCCCCCCTTTGTTCCCCATTCTCTGACCGCCCCCCCGGAACCTCCACCCCCATCCAACCACTCCCTGTCCCCTGACTGCCCCCTGGTATCCTCCACTCCTTGCTCCCTTACCATGCTGGAGCCAGCTGAGGCTGTGGGGCTGGGAGGACAGCGGGGGAAGGGCCGGGGTCTAGCCTCCATGGCCAGGAGCTCAGGGGCCAGGCAGGACAGTCCCGCGGGTCGGATGTGGCCCGCAGACCATAGTTTGCCCACCTCTGCTGTAAACTGTTTTGTGCTTACTGAACAGAGTTTACACAGACATCTTGCTTCACAACTCACATTCAGATACCAAGATAATTCATAGAGTGTTTAACTATCCAGTGAAGACACCTGTGTGATTTAGTCAGTGCTGGCATTATAACAGAGACTGCCATAACTGAGCCATAGGAAGGAAGGAAGGAGTCATGGCACATTAAAAAACCAACCATCATGAAAGCCAGCCATGACCTGGAACTCCATCCACTGGGGTTCTTCAGCACTTCAAAACTTGATCTCAACCTTAGTGATCCATTGGCCTGTCTGCCAGTATACTCTGGTGAAATGCCTAGTAGATTCAGCCTCTGCTGTCAATCAGTAAGAGGAAGTGCAATTTTAAATGTATGTGCAGTAATTCCTCCACCACAGTAGGAGACACTTCAGCTGTCTGATCTGGTCTATTTACATCAGAAGAAGACAGGCAGGAAGCATGGAGACAGGAAAGATGGAGGTGTGGGAGAAGAACGAAAGTGAGTGAGGGGATAAGAAAAGAGAGATATTGAAGGAGGGCTGGAGAAAGGGGAGGAGGAGAGTATGCCAGAGGCAATGTTCAGCAACAGAAAAATAAAAGGAAGAGATGAGAACAAATAAAGAGGAAGGGACTAAATGATTGAAGAAGAGGTAGAAAAACAGCCAAGAAAATCAAGCCCACCAGAAAGGAAGCATCTACTCTCTGTCACTGACAGGCATTGCTAATTTGGGAAAGCTGACTGAGGTGCTGGGAAAGGGCAGGATCGGTAGAAAAGGCTCAGTTTTACTAATTCCAGTTCAATCACTGCTTGTGAAAGATGGCAGATTAAGATTCTGTGAGTCTGAGGAACACAGCCCTCTTCTGGACAGACCACCACTAGAAATGAGAGAGCAGCTTAGTCTCCACTTGCATTCAGGCTGTGATCTTGCTGATGGGAATGCCCATGAAGGTGCCAGTTAGCCCAAGTGGCGGTGGTGGCTTTTGTGCTGTGGACCACCATCCCCCAGGAACTGGATCAGTTAGTGGTTGTTTTTCTTATTGTAGCTAAGAGTATTAAAAAGGCTTTTCAAGATAACAGGAGATGCTTTTGACATGTCAGCTAGAGTTGCACACTAAGTAGGTCACTTAATTTTAAACAGAAATTCTGCCAAAAATTGTAAACTTTTTATATGATCGCAATATGCTTTGCTGAATTGGCTGTACCATGATGCCTGGCAACACTGCAAGGCATTCATTCTTTCCACCTGATGTGATTTCCTATCCCTCGTTTACACTCACTTTAAGTTCTCTTTCCACTTTCAGAGCAATGTAATTGGGCCTGAGTGCAAATGAGAATCAAGTCCTGAGTGTCTCTCTTTTATACACAGTAAAGCAAGGCACATTTTTGGCCAAAACGTGCTCACTTTCCTCACAAGAGTCATCTCATTGTCATGGGATAAAGTATACACATAGCATGAGTCAATCCAATCAGCCCTGAGAAGAAGGTAAGCATTTGTTTCATTCCCAAATGAGTTAATAACAATAAGGCCTATCTCTCATTGCCAGGTGTTTTGTTGAACTGGACCCTTCAGTATTAATTCTTCTAAATGACATCTAGTGTGGAGATCTTCTCTGATCAGCCCACCTGCCATCAGAAAGCACAGATGTAAATCCCACCTCTGCTTCCTTTTCTGTCCACCCTGGCAATGAAATTTAGGAGGCCAGGCCTTGTTTGTGCAGCTCCTGTAGGGCACAGAGCTAAGCTCAATAGACGCTCCCACGTACCTAGTAGACAAAAGAGGGATGGGGCTGTTGTAGGGGGGCTGGGTCAGAAGGTCTTCTAGTTTTTTTTAGCCTCTTGCCATCACCCCACCCTCAGCAGAGGGAGAACGAGGGGCTGGATATTCAGAGATGCTCAGCACCTGCAGCTACCATTGATTGTAGATGGATTTGTGTGTGCTCAGCACCTCTGAAAATCAAGTCATAGGACTGCAGCCATTGTATGGCTTGGGCAGGGAGGATTCCTTTTCCATCACTGTACTTTTCTGGTTCAGGGGGAAGGATTTGGTCTCTGTCGGCGGGTGAACAATGAAGTATGTGATAATGTTTGTTCTAACTGATAATCAGCCTTTAATTCAGTGGGCATAGCAGCAGGCCTCATCAAAAGTTAACAGGTCATCATCTCCTACTGAGAGTCCGGTGTGGATGAAAGTGTAGCAACAATTCCAAGTTCTTGCCATGATGAGCTTGTGCCTATCAATGCCTATTGGCAGAGCA